GAGACACGAAAGACCAATATAAACTTTAACTATTTATTTTTAATAGTTATATATATATATATATATATATATATATAACTATTAAAAATAAATAGTTAAAGTTTATATTGGTCTTTCGTGTCTCTCTCTCTCTCCGATCGATACAAATATCAACGACAGTGATCGATGCTGTTACATCGACACGAACTTCAACAAGTTCTTTGTTTCTCGCAGTCTCGACGAGATCCTTCTGATATGCATTTATTCTGGCATTTTCTCCTTGGCGCTCTTTTTCCGCACTCGTGAAGAAAGCACGTGGCCGCTTTGCTGCTTCTTGAATTAATCTCTCGCATACATTAAACTTAATGAATTCCGAAACGTGTACGACATCTTGGTTCTCTTGAAACAAAGAATCTTTCGTTCCTGACACTGCTGTTAACATGTCATTGACGTCATCCATCGTGTTTCTGCATTGTTGATGCATATTACGTTAGCACGTACATTTTATGCAATGACACGCGGCGTTACATCGGCGTTCACCGAAAAATTCGAGAATAGAGCTTGCATCCACTTTGCTGTCGCTACCCAGGTTTAACACTTGTCAATCAGAAGTATGATCCGATATTGATCCGTGCTGTTGGCAATCAAACATTGATAAACCATATTGACGCAATACTAGCAATTATATTTTATCGAATACTGATCATAAAATGTTATTAACAAAAAAAATAATGTCTGATTCCTGATTTAATGTTAAGAACTACAATGTAAGAACTATCCCACATTCTTTTCTCATTGTGTAATGACTTTCTACGGAAAGCGAGGCCATCACTCCCCCTGTTTAGGGGTATCGACTTTCAACGGATGAATTTTGCTTCGTGTGGATAATTTATTGAAAAACGAAGCAAAAATTTGTAGCTGCTGTATCCCATATAGGAATGCCAGTCGTTCTCAATAGTGCCAATATATAACTCGGCCCAATATATGATAACCAATTATTGGCCGATATAAGATACTTGGTATTTTGTTCTGGGCCGTGTCTGGCATATGACTGGGTACCATTAATTTCCGCAGTTTTTTGTCTGTTATATTTAATTTGTCGTGCGATAGTTATTGAGAGTCCTTATTATTAATAAATATGTCGAAAAATTATTATAGATAAAGAAAGTTTCGAAAATTAATACAATTAAAAATGAACATCAGCGATAAATGTATTAATAATATTGAAAAAAATGACAGTGAAGAAAATAATAGTGAAATTAATATTGACAGTACGAACATTGTAAATGAGATTATATTAGATCACAATGAAGAAACCATTTATCATAGATGACAGCGAACATAATGAATTATTTTTATTTGACAATGTGTTAAACAAAGATAAAATGATTCACTGTGTTACACTGTGGTATCTGTGTCTCTTGTTGAAAAGCATTTACAATAATTAGAATAATCACTGCATTAAAACCATTACTAGTCAAATATTGGAATGATAAGACAACCATAATGATCTAACATTGTTTATCACGTTTGGCCAGTACAGTTATCCATTATCGGGCCGAAGTTATCATCCCATTAGTATTCCCATTAGTCAGGGGCCAGTCATGGTGCCATTATATATCGCAATATAGGTTACCTGATAACCAATCTTGGACCAATAGTGAAATCCTATATGGGATTCCACATTTGAAATATTTGTAAATTAAAAAATTGCAAATTTATGTACGGTAATATTTTTCCAAGCATATTTTTTAATTTTAAAATTTGCTATGCGTTATATATCGACAAAATATTTTAGATGTAAACATCCAATTGCCTCATTGCACATTGTATTCGAAAAATCTCGTAAAAAATAAAATTAATTTCCTTGCGATGTATAAGAGAGTTTATATTAAATAAACCTTAGAGTTTGTATTAAATAAATGAGGTTTCTATGATTGAACATTATTAGAACTTATTATGCCTTGGAGTCCCGCGTTCTCTCAGAATTTTTCGTAATGAAGTCAACAAGCGCGAACCATGAGACGGCCAAGACCGACAACAGCGGAAACTCAGCAAGTATCCGCCTTTCAAGCACTGAAATCATAGAAAACCAGCTATATATATGCTCGTGGAAAAGTTTCACATTCAATTTGTTCCTCCCGTTTCGCAGTAATCGCTCGCCAATGACTTCCTCCTTCCCCTACCGTCTGTATCTGCTTCTTTCTCTTTTCCAGTGTTCCTTTCCAGCTTCCATCTCGGGAACTTCCGCCGCCCCTTGCATCTTTACCGGATCCACTTAAATTGAAACGTGCACCGAGACACCGAATTGCGAATATGGGAAGGACTGGCTGTAGAATCTCCCGACCAATAGCAACGTTAGAAACTCACTTCTTTACCCCCATATTCCGGTCTCGGAGAACCAATCAGGGAGGCGTGCCGGTTTCGTGGTAGAGTGAGCATGGCGTTTCCACCCCCAAAATGGCTGCGAAATCGCGCGGGCATTAGGCATCCCGTTCAAAATAAACGGGCGGATTAATTCGAGGGGGAGCGATACGCGAGCGCGTACATCCCCCTCCCCTCTCCCTTTCGACGGCGTATTAACTTTTTATCTCGGTACGTGTGTTCCTCCCCCGCGATAGTTGACGACGACGCTGAAGATGACGATGGTATCGGGGATGAAGTTTTCGATCAGCCGCAGTGGTTGTCGACGATGCAGAACAACGCCGAGCGTCCATACGATAGCATGAAAATTACGGATTTTATCGTAGTGCGAGTGTGTTCACACGATTCGTGATAAATTATAGCCGTTGATTATTATTGTTTCGTCAGAGAAAAATACAATTTCAATAACAATCGACTATTGTGAGCGTTACGAGTGCACTATTTTGCCCATGGCGATGATGCAGGAGCATAAATCTTTCTTGATCAGAGATCTTCTGGGGGATGTATTGGCTGACCGAGTTCAAGGTATCTTTATCACTAAGACTCAATAGACAAAAATCATGCTAGATGATCAATGCAAGATAGATTGTTGATAGCGGTATTCGTTCTAGTATCGAAATTAACTTTTCAATTTTAAAAGAATAATTAACTCTTTCTCTGCAAATAAAAAAAATGATTGTGATTATCTTATATTTAAAACCTAATTATTACACATAATTATTTTTTCTTTCTAAACATGTAATATGTATTTACAAAAATATGTTTTATCATTCTTAAAAGAAAAATTAAATACAGGGAAAAAACGGGGTCACGGCATTTAGTGAATCAGATCGATCATCTTAATTATGAGAATTCTACAGAATAACATACATACATTATTTTTATGTAATGTTTTACTTTATGTAAAATTTATCTAAAATAATATATTATTATACATGTATAAATAATTATAAAAGATACATTCAATGAAAAATCAAGTTAAAATCGGGTTGGAAGAAAAGTTTTGTAGTATTTTGTTAGCTCAAAATTATTGTTACAATATCTTTGTTAAAAATGATCAAATTTAAATTAAAAAAAAAGTTTCAAAGCTTGAAATCTTTACTTTTGAATGGTTACTATATTTTTTGAATTTATTTAAGTTTTGTAATTTTTATATATAGAAAACTATGAGTTGAAAAAAAGGGAAATTTTTTTTTCACTTTGTGGGTCTGACACGTGCCAAAAAAATTTGCAAAAATTTTTGACTATCTTTATCGTGAAAGTTTGGAGTTTTCTTACAAAATTTTTTAAAAATATTTCTACGATTTTTTGTGTTTTATTTAATCCGCGTGTAACTTGGTAACAAAAGGTCGTAGAAACATTTTTTAAAAACGAACTTTTAGAAAAAACTTTAAGCTTTCACGTCAGATAATCGAAAATTTCACAATAAATATATTCTATATATAATTTTGAGCTAACAAAATTCCAGCAGCAGAACTTTTTCTCCAACCTAATACTAATAAATTTTGTTAAGTGTGAACGCCTTCATCTCATTCTTTCCTACTTTAACATTGGTGCCATATATGAATTGTGAGTTGAATATATCAAAATGATATACTATAGTATATTAATTTTATGTATTTTATATTTGGTTAAAGTTATTTTAATAACTTAAACTTTGTGATAAAAACGTTTTTTTTTCAGTTTTATAATATAACTTTGTAAATAAATTTGTAACATGATGTTAACTTTATTCTTATTATTTTAAAAGTTCTTACTTTTGAAAAAAAAAATGGACTTATCGTTTTGATAACTTTCCGATCAAATAATTAATCTAAAAACAAAAAATCTATTATATTTTTAAGCATTAAAGATCTAATTTCTACCGTTATAGGTTTGAATATTTTGACTTAATATATATTTTTAAGAATGTTTTATCTATACAATATTAGCTAAAAATATCACTCAAATAATTAAAATAGCTAAAATATTAAAATATCATTCAAATAAAACAGCTAAAAATAGCTAATATTAGTCAATAACATTAAAAAAATTTTGATAAAAATTTTGATTGATTTTTAATTAACCCGTGAATATTCCCTGAATGTGATTATCATGTCATATTCTCATTCGTCGCGTTGGATTATATTATTGGTTTTGAATTTGGAGAATCTGTATCAAGATTATATATACATTTTGAATTTATAGATAAATAATACTTGTAAAGTTTTAGATTAATAAAATAAGAATGTGCCGACTAATGAAATTCTGTCTAAAAAATACTTTTTAAAATTCCTTCATTGATTATGAATTTTTCATGATTTATATATTATGAATTATAACGATACTAATACAAAAATATATTAACTTAGCTATAAAATCAATTTTCTAACTGCAATGGTTTCGAAAGGGTTCCTTTTTTAACATCCGGAAACTATTTGCGATAATCGCTAACAACTCTTAATAAAAATTGTTTTTGACAATTCTTCATTCTTTGTTATAATAGTGCTGTAATCAGCTTAGTGCGGTAATTAGCTTTATTCCTCGTTCAGCTGTGTCATTATATGAAATTATTGCAGTTAGAAAATTAATTTTATAGCTAAGTTAACATATTTTTGTATTAGTTATTGCTGTATGTAATTTGATATATATAAATTATGAAAAATAATCAATGAAGGAATTTTAAAAAAGTACATTTTCAAGCAGAATTTCATTTGCCAGTCGGTACCATTTTTATTCTGTAATTTTGTAATTTTAAACGACTCAAGGATGAATATGACTGTTTCGACATCGATTTCATTGTCATTTCTTAATGGGAAGTAACACACAAGCTTTAGCGTATAATATACGACTTATTGCCGTCTCTTGAGGATATGGCAATAAGTTGTACATCATACGTGAAAGCTTGTGTGTTACTTACATCTACAATTTAAGTCTAAATAAGTGTTATGACAATCCTTGTGCTCAGATCTTTTGACAGATGTAATATCAGATTTATGAGGTATCCGCCAGTTTCGCACCGGTCCCCCATGGTGCTGTGTCAGTTTTGTCATGCAGATATGTTCAAAACTGTGATATAAATATGAGGTGATATGATGTAGATTTCAAATCACCGCGGTAAGATAATGGTATCTGGCTAATTAGAAATATAATATTCAAGTTTATGTTTTTCATCTCAAGAAAGATTATATTCATTATACCTTTAAATTTATTACAAGAATCATATGTCTAGTAATAGCTGTTACGTTTTATATGAATACTAATTAAATAATCAGGAGTAGTAGTGACTCGCGTTGAGAGTAAGCGATATCGAAGCGCGAGACTGGCCGTGTATCTTTATGTTGAGTTTTCCAGACGATTATCGGATCTCAAGAACAGAATCGATTAAGTTTTAAATAGGTTCAATCGATAGCTTCTACTCAAAATATATAATAAAAACGTTTATGTTTTTTCTTCACATACCTTACGAGCGAAGATATTGCGACGCAAAGTCTAAATATGTGAAACTTTACTTTCATTGTGTCGTGGGATGTGTGGGAAATATCTTTTTAGAATTTTTAGCGCAAGAAGCAAATATGGCATCGGCGATACATGGGCGCTGCAACGATTCTGCATCATTCTACACATTTTACACATTCTACAGAGATCAGACTACGCATTAAAGATTGAGATTGAAAGATCGAAATTTGATCAATCAAAACAAAAGGTTTAATCTTTAATGCACAGTTTGATTCTGGCCTAACGATCACGCGATCGCGGAGGAATTGAATGAGTGCAATTGTGGGTAAAGGTATATATTTAATACCTCGATTATCTCGAATTTTGACTGATAAAAAAGTAAACATTTAATTTATTCGTTTTCATGTAAAAAAAAAGAAGAGTAGATATGAAATTTGGCATCAGTTGTTGATCAAATCTTTTATACAAGTAGTACATTATCATTAGAATTAAATAAATAATAAAAATAGTCCCACTCATTTGGGTTTTACTTTTTATTATGGCACAATAAAGACAGTACTACTGAGGTTTTATAATTTGATAATAGCTCCTTCTTTTTCAAATACATGTTGACCTAAAACGTTAATCTCATAAACTATTAACATTTGATAGCTGTATTTTAATATTTTTATGAACAAATTAATGCGATCAATTGTTAAAAAGAAAACACATAATCGCTTCCTTTAAAAAGATATCCATTTTGCCTATTTTTTAAAGCACGTATTTTGTTTTTACACCAATTGATTGGTTATTATTTTATTTAAATCTCATTATTTTATTCATAAAATTATTGAGATTATCAAAAAAAAATTAATAGTTTATAGGATTATGAGACTTAACATTTTATGTCAACGCGTATCAGAATAAAGTAAAAAATATCTCGTAAAGTATTGATTTTGATATTTTTACTTTAATACTTTTATATAGAATAATTAGAGAAACGATATTTTGTAAATAAAATAATTCCCTTAAAAAATGGACGCGATCGTCACATCTTTTTGGCATGTCCACCTTGAAAGAAAACAACGTAACCAAAATACGTTCAAGTTTAAGTCAGTTCGTTTACGACAATTCATTTACTTAAATCAAGTCAATATCATTTAATTGATGGATTTTTTTTGCATTACCACGCAATATATAGATGCTCTGACACGTTTAACATAAAGATAATCATAACTTCTTTAATTTTTGAATTTTGAATATGCCTTAGACAGAATAATTTTAAATGTCTCCTATTTCATAAAATTGAAAAAATAATTAATTTTTTTATCTTTTAGACAATTGGTATAATGGTATTTCTTAATTTTGTGATAATGATTACGTTTTTTTTGAAATAAATATAAACGAATACGTGACAGATCGTCAAAATTCTCGTTAAAAAGTGGATCCCCTGGTGCGAGCTTCTATTATTTAAATCACCGACGTGAAGCTATCAGGGAGACTAACTCCCTTGGATGTGGTACCCTATTAAGAACAATTCTACACATGGTTCGAGGCGCCGAAAGATTTGTTAGAGCTTGTTAGTCTCACGATTTTCATCGAAGGTTATTACCCCCCGGCGCGTCATTGCGAATCTATTGGCTGATCCTGAGAGGGTGCAGTAGGTCTTGGTAATTGAAATGGTTTTCTCTAACCGAAATCGATCACGATCGATTGAGGATTGCTGAATTATTGTTTTAGTAATAGGCTTTGCCCGACCGACCGAATTCGCTGATTGGATCAATTGGATCAGCCAGAAAATAATTATTATCACATACCTAATGGCGGAAGAACAGATTGTCTCACATGTTTCGTTACATACATTTTTCTTTACATAATTAATCCTACATTACTCATATGATTTTTTTTAACGTAAATATGCATAGGATATATTATACACCCTACCACAATTTATCCTAATTTCCATTACTTTTAATTTTTTACTTTAATTCTTTAAATATTACCATCCAACCTCATTTTGCAGCAATATCGCTGCAAAATCTCTGCAATATTGCTGTAACATGCAATGTTGCAATAATATTATTGCAACTTTTGTGCAACTTTGTGGTATAGGAGACATCATTTTGAAATATTAATAGTCTTTTAATTTGAACGTATTTCTGCCTTTTATGAATTCATTGACATTTGCTTAGCATGTCATAATTTGGAGAAAATGGCAATAGTTTAAAAAAATATTGATTTTAAGTGATTTCATGTCGTTGTATACTTATACATAAAATCAATATTTTTTCTTCAATTTCATTAATATCACGCAAGAATATCAACTTTTAGTTTTAAAATATACTTTGATTTATTTTGATAATCTTTTGTTTTCGAGATATATATCAATTTGAAAATAGCTCCTTTTCTCATGTAATATATGTATGTACGTTGTGACCGTACTCACGAGCAACGGCACAACTTCGTCGCGTTTCCTCACACAAAAATATCGAGAGTAGATTAGACTCCGAGTAGTACCGTTCAGGTAGCATCTATATATCATATACGTTTTATATATAGATACGTTTCTTAACGTATCTAGTATTCTACAAACGTTTAAGGAACGTATATAAAACGTGTGCTACTGGAGCGCTTAATTATTGTTGGGCGTCAGGCAGAGAGAGCGTGCCACTCTTTTTCTAATTATTGGCTGACTTGAAATAATTTCGTGTAATTATTTATTGCGACGGACGAAATCCGACCGCTCAGCCACGGAATTGGGAATGACTCATTATCAGCGAAAGAATATCAGAGGATGAGAGAAATAGGCTAAAGAAAGAACATGAATTAATAAAGAAAAGAGAATAACAATTGTATATTTTACAAAAGTCGAATTACATTTGGCTTTGATGAAACGTAAGTAGGGCCCTGATCTTTAAGATTCGGCATCTGTAACGGGAATAGAGTCAATTATTATGCACGCGTCGATTAAGCATAGATTTTGATATTATCTCAGCTCTCAAGAGAATTGAGTGATAAATACGTAATAAGAAACTATGTTACTTGACTATGTTACTATGAACAGATAATAATTGCGCGGTAACTCAAAGATTAGAAGACAAGGTAGTGTCTCGGCGCTAAGACAAATTGGGGGGGGGGGGATCGAGATTATTAGATTATTTTTACGTCGCAAAATAGAAGGAATCTCCACACACAAATATGCAGTAAAAAATGACTCGACTGTGGCAAATGACGAGCGCTATTCGGTACCTAGTATTTGTAAAAAATGGCGTTCGGAATAATATGTGGCTCATACATCGTTATACGCGCCAGAAAGTCGGTCGCACGAAATCTTTAGAATCCTTAACGCGCAATTCTCCCGACGCAAAGAATCTCGTAATCGGTGACTTTAAAGAATTAAGCGACGCTCGTCTCACCGATATTATTCTTCTCGTACTCTCCGGTATCCTCTTTTGGAAACCACTGTTCTGCCCTTTTTTATAGTCGTATTTCTGGGATCGTACGATCCTCTCTCACAAATCGTTGGCTCAGCCACAATACGAATACCGGCTGGAATTTTTTCGCGTGAGTCCTCACAGATCCTGACGCGCAATCCAAATCGAGAAACTTCCTAGACAGCTTTCTGATTATTCCGGATAGCTCGGAATATCAAGTAGTGCTTTATCGCTGTAAATTTGCATTTTTCTTGCAGACGGATGATACGCGTGGTCATTATTCTCGCTTCAAATACTTCGGTTCTTGGCCTGAGAAGAAGGAGCTCTCTAGAGCTCATCTTTCATTGTTTTCCTGTGAATAGTTGCGACAAATCGCATCTTCACTCTTCTCGTAGTAACGGATCTTTCTTCTCCTGGTTGCGATGAGAATACAGAAAGAATAGTGCAGCCACCGATCGAAAACGCTAAATTTGGAACTAAACTAAAACTAAGAAAAAATAAAACTTATATAACAAACAATTGATGAAAACAAATAAGTACCCAGCAAACGAGAATGGATTAAAATGGATTAAAATTTTTTTCTATTCGAATGCGTATTTTAAATAGCGAATACTTTTTTTTAATTTAATTGGATTCAATTGGATGCAATTGAATTGAAAAACTGCATATTCTATTCAAAATCTTGAATTAAACAGTATTCACAATGTACAGAAAAATTTAATATTATTTTTAGATTGAAAGGCATAGAGATATGTTCCATGCAATACCTATAAATTAATAAAAATGCATTCAGGATTGAAGAACATTCATTTTAACATTCGTGAATTAATATTTCTGAAAATCTGAATCCATTTCAATTCATTTCAATCCATTCTCGTTTACTGGGAAACAATTGATGAAAACAAATAAGTAGCGCTCGCCCTCCGAATCGGGAGGACGAAAAACCCCCCAGAATTGTCGCAATTGTGATAGACAAAACTTTTCACATCACAACGTTTATATATACATCTATTTTTCTCTGCCTTCATCCTACATCATGGCTTCGACAGTTATATCTCTACCATAGCGTTCTTACTCTTACTTCATAGCTTAAATATATAAGGGCTTTGTGTTCAGAAATAATCTTTTCACCATAATTCCAATATAGAATCTCACCACAAAGATGGTCGTAACCAAGCCATAAGTCGTAATCGTAGATCAATGCACGATGTTTTGGTCAACCCATGATAGAATTATAATTCCATCATAGATCAACAACTACGACTTATGTTTCTCAATTACAGCCATCTTTGTATTTAGGCCTTTACACTGCTAGTAGTGAAAATGTCAGTAGTATACGTAACGTGCTCTATAAATTTTTTACTTGCAGTGAGAAACGGAACGCAGCTGAGAACTGATTATGAATATTAACTTAGGTCTATTAAACGTTCTAATTATTAAATATCCAGTTTTATCATGATAACTAGAAATTCTGTTTTATCCAATTCATTCAACTGTAAATGTCTTCTTGGTGTGATCTAACCATTTTTCTCAATGTATGTTTTACATGTTGCAGAAGACTCGGAGAACGATTCGATGGTCCATTCGGATTCCGAAGACACTATCGATCCTGGCAGCAGCCCTTGCACGCGTCTAGGAAGTCCTCCACCGGCGCTTTCACCATCGCCCGGTTTGGCAACCACATCTGGGAAATCTTGTGGGGTGATGGTCAATAGCGCACCACCGACTAGCAGGAAACCACGAAGACGACGAACCGCTTTTACTCACGCTCAGTTGGCTTATCTCGAAAGGAAGTTCCGTTGTCAGAAATATCTCAGTGTAGCGGACCGCAGCGACGTCGCGGACGCTTTATCGCTCTCAGAGACCCAAGTAAAAACTTGGTATCAAAATAGAAGGTAGACAAAAATTTACCGTATGATAAAGAAGTAAGATTGGAAGGAGCTTTTTGCGCCACTGCGATTTCATTGCAGGACGAAGTGGAAACGGCAGAATCAATTACGATTAGAGCAGTTGCGTCATCAAGCTACCGTTGAGAAAGATCTTCTGGTACGTAGCGTGGGTCTTCATCATAGCAGCATGGATGCTTATTGTTCACCATATAACTCGCAAACGCAAACCAGCCATCCGCCACCACCGCCGCCGCCATCGTCAGCAGCATCTACTGCTTCTACGGCAGCGTTTCTCTCGACAGCGGCCGCACTCTTCCGGAACGTCACCTATGTCCCTGGCTGCCCTCTCTAACACGTGTAATCTTGAAGATCTCAAGATTATTCCTGAATCAGAACGAGCAATTTAGCTCAGAGATCTGAAGAAACATTTCGATGAACTACTTGTGCCGTGAGTGCTAAGCTAATTCAGTGTTTCAAAAAATTTTCATTCATCTTTCGTTATTTAGGAGTTTCCCAAATTTTAGTGAATTGGTTAAAAAGATTTGCATTAATAAATTAGTTTATTAATAAGAGAGACATCTATATGCTACTGTTTTTTCTTTTTAACGTTATCGCTTTTTTATAATGTTATATTTAAAATATGGATATATATATATTGCTCTCTGATTTAAAGATTTTCTAAGATGAAAGAAACAAAACCATAAATTATAATTATCTTACTTTAATTACAACTATATCTGCATACTATCAAGTCTCAATGTATTGAATGTTATCAACATTTTTGTGTTTAAAAAGTCTGTAATTGTTTCTTTTTCACATTTCTTCTTCCATGACATTCAATAAAAATCAAAGAAGTGTGTAAATATATAATTACGGAATTTCAGTAGTCGTAGCAACTTATCTTTCACATATCGAATTCAGCGTAACATTTAACATTAATATGGAAATTTACATCACCTTTGATAGAATTTCCATTTCCAGTTGATATTATAATAATGTTACAATATCATTATAATGTGTCACACGATGGATGCGATATTAATATATTGCATTAAAAAAATAAATAAAAAAGAAAAATTACAGTTGTCATGAAAGAAAGAATGAGCTGTTGATTTCGTAATATACATAAATTGAAAGCAGAGGTAATTGACAATTAATTGACGTTTAATTGGCAATTAATAAGTTATGCGATTTAGGCTCGGTTGCACCATGTTACTTTGACTTTACGCGAGGTTTAAAACTCTCTCTATTTCTCCTTCTTTTTCAATTTTAAAGAGAAAAAAGTGAAAGTAACATTGGTTCAATCAATCCTTAGTAACAATTCTTAGATTCTTTAGCATGTAATTAAATAATGTAATCTCGACATGTGAATGAAAGTAATATCTATTATTAATTAT